TTTACCATCCAGAGGCTGGCTTGTGAATACTCTGGGTGTTGGCAAATCCCCCCTCAGAGACTGCTGGGTGCTGTCTTGTCTGGGGATGGACTTCCAGAGAACCAGCTCTCTATAATACCAGTCGATATAAGGAGCTGCCCATCTGTTGAATAGTCCCAGGCAAAGGACCAGTTAACCCAAAAGAGATGCCATGTGGGAGCATCCCAGACAAAGCCCTTTATGGCCGTCTGTCCAATTTCACAGACGGATGCATAGTAGTTGGGAGGGTGCTGATAATGGCCATTTCTGAATTCCAGCTTTCATATGAATATTGAATGAAATGTAATCTTTATGGTACTACCTGGCTTTTAATTGTTTATTTTTTAAAATCAGGAATTGAGTTAATCTGTGAGAAAGACATTGATCTGGCAGCTCAGGTGCAAGAGCTACTGGAGTTCCTCCACGAGAAGCAGCATGAGCTGGAGCTCAATGCGGAGCAGACGCATAAGCGGCTCGAGCAGTGCCTCCAACTGCGGCACCTCCAGGCTGAGGTCAAGCAGGTGAGCCTGGCTCCTCCACCTTCCACTCAGGCTTCCCACCCGGGCTTCCCAACGGGGCTGGACCTGCTCCTCGTATGGAGTGAGGCAGACAGAGCCACAGGTGTAACCAGAACTCAGAAATAGATATGTGAAGGAATGGTTATATTAGCTTCTGAAAGCTTGGCTGCCATCTATTGGATCTGACAAGCAGGTCTAAGGGTCCAGTGGCCCAAACAAGAAATGCATGATTCCTCTTTCATAACAATCTAAAGAGAGCATTCCTGAGTTGCCCTCAGTCACTGAAGGTTTTTCTCTTCCTTTGCATCCCCAATCCTGGCATACAGTTCATGGGAAATAGAAATCCTTTATTGATAAGTATATGGAGCCTTTAGAGCTAGGTTGATTAATTTGGGGCCTCTGTGTGCCTAGTGTAGTCCCTGTCACATAGCTGATAGTCAATACGTGGTAGCAGTTGCCATCATTCTTTTCAGTGTGGTTCCGATAACATTTTCTTACCACAATAAAGTCAATTTTAAAAAGGAAAAAGGGTCCTTATCTATATGAGATATGATACTAGCCATTTTTCTAAGGACATACCCAGGTCTCTAGGAATCTCTAGGGACATATAGTGACCAATGGCACATTTAAAAAATACTACATATTTTACCCTTATGTACACTGACTGCTAGAGGTTTTAGATTTAAATCTATTAATGTACCCCAGGGAACAGAAACATCATATTTGATTTAATGATTGCTTGGTCCCTTGGAGTCAGGGTAGTCCTTGCTATATTCCTTAGTTATAACATTGTTATTTATTAAAATGGACAAAAGTATCTTCTGTGCTCCCCTTCTCCCCCAGTCAGTGCTCAGCCAGAGCCCACACATGCTGTGCTAAAGATTCCCCACTGAGCCCCAGGCAAGACCAGATCACAGTGCTACCATCCAGGTCGTTTTCCGCGTAGTTGCACTGGGAACCTGCGTGGCTCTCTGGAGAGAAATGTTATTCACGGGGACATGGTGGGAATCCCGGCAGGCCCAGAGCAGTGAGGAGAATACAAATCAGACACTCTTGGCAGTAATGATAGTACTTTCTTTCAAATGAGAAGTATTTTTTCATTCGTGATCTCATTATAGGTGAACAAGCCTTGGGGGGAAGTGGTGTATGTTTACTTCACAAATGAGGAAACTGAGGTACCATAGGATTAGTGCTCCTGGGGCCTCTTGACCAACTCAAGCTAAAACTTGCACCCAGGCCTCCTAAATCCAGGGCCCTACAATATGCCTCTGCAAGACCCCACGCCCACCCTGGGGTTTCTGGGGAAAGAGAAAGAAGCCCTGCAGCAGCATGCAGTCTGGGTTTTCTTGGCCGCAGCAGCATTACACTAAATCGCCCGCCACAGGTGTGATTTACAGCTGGCAGCGAGGTGGCACCTGCCCACTCACTCAGCGGGCTCCAGAGGTCATGGGGTCCTCTGCTCTGCATGCTGTTATCCCTGTCAGTGGACGGTGGCAGGGACGATCATCCGAACAAAACAGAGCAGATGAAAATTATTTCTATTTGACTTTAAAATGAATCTACTTTTGCTTTTGTTCCTGGTTTTTCACTTATTTATTGTTTTGCTCCAGCATTAATAGGGTAGAGCCGACACCCTAATTATGTTTTTTTGTGACTGATACGAAAATGGAAATGAATGTTCATCCTCCAAGTATACATCCTGTGTAGAATGGGGAGCTGGGACGATGATAACACAGTTTGTCAAATGGGAAAGTGAAACATCTATCTATGAATAATTCAGGCTTGACGAATGTCTGTATACATTTGCATTCAGTATTGTATGAGTTGGAGAACCAAAGCAGAACCCTCCTATGGGGCTGAGGAAACCCCGTCTCCCGCCATGCTCAGAATGACACACAGTGGGGCTGGAGTTCCAGATGGGGCTGGATTGCTCGCATCAGAATTTAGGGAAACTGTGGGGGCCTTTGCAAAGGACAGCGGCCTTGTGGGTGACCAGGGACTGCTGTTCGGTCCAGACACCATGCCTCATTAGACAGACTTATTTTACTTGTCTAGGCAAGGCTCTTTCTCTAGAGAGTTGTCTGGTCCTGTTCAGGGCAGGCATTTGCGTTTGATGGAAGTTGGTGGAGCAGGAAATATTGATTCGGAAGCTGTCAACACTTGGAAAGAGAGAGTTAATTTAGATGTCAGTATTGATCAACGGGGCTACATTTAGACACCAGCTTGAGAGTTTTCTTTTGAATATACTCTCAAAAAAAGAAAAGAATAAAAGGAAAAGGACATTTAATGGAAATGCCATCAATGGGGACAGAAAGGGAGAGGACAACAATGTGTTATTATACCGCTCTGTCGTTGAGCTCTCAGAGAAGAAAGGTTGAGATGTGGCCATCATAACCTTAAGTGTTGTTACGTCACAGTTACATGAAACTGAAGCTTTGAGGGGGACGATGCCACAGACATTAGACTGAAAATTATTTTCAAGTGTTCAGGACAAAGGAAATTGGCTAATGCAACTGATTTTTTTCTTAAGGGGTTACCTAGGACTTCGTATGTAAGATAAATGGCCCGAATACCTCCAGAAAGATGTTGAGTCTTAAAGGGAAACCACTTTCCTGATTACAGCCCATGGTCCAGGGCCCCAGACCACCCAGATGCCCCCTTTCTTCTAGAAAAGTCATTCAGATTTTTCTCCAGACCCCACAGAATGCTCTGATTGCTTTCCAGGAAAATTGCTACTCTGGTAAGGATGACCTCACATTTATTAGATAATTCAGGAAGATTTGAATAGCCCATTTAATGGGCATAAAACTAAATGAATTTCCATATGTATTCCTAAAGAGCAGTGCATTTAGCAGAAAATAGGCCAAAATTGATTTATAAGATTTGGGGGTTCTAAGCAATTGGGGAAAGAAACCACATGTATTTGTCTACTAAAGATACTGACTTAGATCTGCCCTGTGGGGCAAATACTGGCCAAAATTTGCATACTGTCAAGATGGACATTCAAAACAAAGGAGAAAAATATTATCCTGTTCTCATATTCCTGTTGAGAATATTGTGTTCAATTGGGTTCACTATACGTCGAACTTAGAAAAGAGTTGGAATAAATCCAAAAAAGAGGCAACCAATATCCATTTCTCTCAAAGTGGCGATAATGAAGAAGGCACATGGTCATGGCCTATAAAATCATGATGGATGAACCCATACAGTCTCAAACATCGTGAATCTTTAGGACTAAGAAACATTGAAAGTATGAGAGGCTCCCAGTTACCATCTGAGGGACTGATGGTTTCCCTGTGGCTGGGGTTTCAGAAGTGGCTGTGTCTCGTGATGATATCTGCAGTCGCAGACCTCGGAGTCAATGGCTTTGAGTGCAACCTCACAGACTTATTGTCATCATGACCTAGAGAACACAGCCATGTACCTGCAGCTTCCTCAGCCCACGTGGTGGCAGGGTCCACCTGCCCAGCTTGGATGGCTTCCTCGTTTGTGGACATCCACATCCAGTTAACTAAACAAGTCTCCTAACCCAGTTAGCTGAGCTTTCTTGGCCTGAGGAAGCAATAGATCTCCATTTCTGTCCCCTCTCTCAGCTCTGACTGAGCCCCCAAGCATCCATACTCTTTCAATCCCTCATTTCTGGAAGCTAAGTTCTCTGGGACACTATGGTTATAGGGGCAGTCCCAGAATGTTGAAAGAAGTATGGAATGATAGGGCTCAAAGTGACCTTCAAAGATCATCTAATCTATAGGTAGACTGTTGCCTCAGTGATTGATCAGCATAAAATGTTCACTTGATGGATTATATGTTATGGTTGGCAAAGTACTTTCACATTAATTATTTTATTTCATATTTGCCCTGTGACTTAAGCAAGCAAGGGGTTACCATTTTACAGGAAAGAAAACTGAGCCTCAGAAAGATGAAATGTTTTCAAACTCACACAGCTCAAGATTGGTAGAACCAACACTTTCTCATTTTTATTATAATATTTCTTCTACTACCTTGTACTCATTTGGATGCTCACCGAAGAGTAAATAACCAACCTTGTGAACCAGGAACACTAAGGACTATAGTAATAGAGAATTACACCAACAAGTATTGTCATTAATCAGAGTACAAAGAATGATGATAACAAAATAGCTAAGATACCTACCTAACATCAGGAGGCCCAGAATACGCCGATAAATACTACAAATACTGGGACAAAAATTAATATTCCCAGACTTTCTCTCTTCTCATTGTGAGAGGTACAAATGAAGAATCATAGCATTACCTAGCTTTGCTCCAGAACTAAAAATGATCACCATCACTATTATCCTGCTATGTTGCATCAACCCTGATTACAGAGGGTGACGATACTGCTATCCTAACCTTACAAATGAGAAAACTGAGACTCAGAGGGTTAGTAACAAAGCCAGGTGTGCTGACTTCAGATTTTGTGCTCTTTCTATACTGTCTCAGTTCTGCTTCTAGGACTAACTCAATCATAGGGATCAGTCTCACCCTGACCGAACCTGAGGATGGATATAAACTGCCATGCATTTTTTTATCTTCCTAAAATCAAGTCTCCCACTTTAAAGTCCTGCATGCCTTTATAAACAGTGTTTGGGAAATCAAAGTGAGCAAGGATGTCAAAGATATGGCATGATTTAATGAAAGAGGTAAAGGCTGGAGACCACAATATTTCTAAATGGAAAAGCTGGTAAATGGGGATCCCACAACCACAGCTACAGCTGATGTTTCAGTTGGCTAAGACTGGAGAGGAACCCTCAGGAGGCCCAGAGGGAATCACATTGCCCCTCAAGCATTGATTTGTGATGTATGTGGAGAAAATGTTTCTCTGACACCCTCAGATGAATCTTGAACCAAGCAAAACGCAATGAATCATGGCAGAAATGAACATTGAGAGCTCCATTTTGCAAAAAGATGAAGCATTTGGAGCACACAATCCGTGTATGCCTCCACCCAAACTTACAGGCAGCTTTCGGAAGTCATTCGCCCCTCGAGCCTGGCAGCCATAGTACACCAGTGGCATCAGAGATTTCACACATACACTCTGAGCAGTTATTTCCTGCAGCTATTTGCTGTACAATAGTTGTACCTCATCCACAATCTTCCAGACCGGCCATGAATTAACATCTCAATCCAGAGAGCCCTGCTTCAGCGGGATGTCTGCCCCCGTGTTATCCATGCATGATATGGCACCAGTCATTGTCTGCCCGAGGAGGACATTGGCAAAATGTCTATGAGGGTTATGGCCTAGGAAACCAGGCTGAGTATTTTTCTAATTGTTTAACATGAAGAAGTTGAGAGGAGAAAGTAATATTCTGAAACAGATTGTGGTGACTTCTGTTTGTGTGGAAGTGACAGATATGTGGTATTTACTGATTTTGACATTTCAAAAGAATTTTTTCTCCAATAAAACTCTCAGATTTCCTAATAAAGAAAACATTTGGCAATTCGCTGGTGACCAGACACAGGTAGATTTTCAAGGCCTGATTCTTCCAGGTTGATTATTCGCGCTAACACTATCAGCTGGATAATTGCACATGCCCATTTCACCTAGGACTGTCTAGACCAGTGGTTCTCAACCTTCCTAATGCAATGACCCTTTAATATAGTTCCTCATGTTGTGGTAACTCCCAACCATAAAATTATTTTCATTGCTACTTCATAACTGTAATGTTGCTACTGTTATGAATCATAATGTAAATATCTGATATGCAGGATGTATTTAGGTGACCCCTGTGAAAGGGTGGTTCGACCCCCAAAGGGGTCGCGACCCACAGGTTGAGAACCACTGTTCTAGACGGTGTCAGGTGTTTCTCCTTCTACGCTAATATTCCCTTGCTGAGGACTAATTAAGGTCACCTAGAAGTTTTACTCAGCTGAGTCCTAGCCTCTAAATCAATTATAACTTACTCTCCCTTTTTCTAATGTTCCCATTATGGATTATTTACACTATTTTGCTTGTTTTCTTTCTCCTCCTTCCTCCTCCCTCCTTTGGGTTGCTTATCTGCCAAAGCTCAAGCCCGTCTGCCTTGGCTATTTTGCAAGGCATGGGAGGTTGGACCCACTCCTTAGGTGTGACCTGGGTGTTCGCCATAGGTAATCCCTCACTCTTTCAGAAACTTTACTGCATACCCATCATATGCTGGATACTGTGCTGGGCACTATACGAGATGAAAATGTGACTAATAGAATACTCTGCTCTTCTGGAAGTTGACCTTTTAAGGGGAGAATTGAAACATAGGTTGGAATAATTGACCAAAGGCAGCCTGAGGTGAGTGCCACAAAGGTGGTATGTGCCAAATGGTACGGCTGTGCTAGGTGACCAAGAGGTCCTTTCTAATGGGAGTGACTAGGTTGGTAGATTTCAAGACGTTATTACCATTTAAAATGGGCCTTTAAAAAAGAAAAGGGTACCAACAGAGGGAGTTTATTTATACCATTTTGTGTTCCAGGAGGAACTTCAGAAATGGACATACAATGCAGTCAGATAAAGTAATGTTTAAATTAAGTGGGTGAGAAAATCAGGACAGAGACATGATAAAGGTAGGAAAGGATATATGAAGCTGGGAATGAGGTTGGTCCTTAAGGTAAGATTAGGAAGATGACCAACTTAATTATCCAGACCCATCCTGTGGGTGGCAGATAGTGAGCTCTCTGACTGAAGGGACCATCAGAGGCCACAGCTCTGGGGAAGTTGCGAAGGCCGTTCACCTGTGCTCCTGTCCGACTCCCTAGGTCCTGGGATGGATCCGCAATGGGGAGTCGATGCTGAACGCCAGCCTGGTCAACGCCAGCTCCTTGTCTGAAGCAGAGCAGCTGCAGCGGGAGCACGAGCAATTCCAACTGGCCATCGAGGTAACACCCACATCTGGCTGCACCGCCCTCCCCTCCCTTCTGTTCTGTGGTTCAAGTGGGACAATTTCTCATATGTGGGTGTCCCTTTATGTAACGAAGCCCTCACTGTTCCTAGTAAATGGTCCAGGGTGTCTCCCTACTCTCCAGGAATTGATGGAGAAGCCAATGCAGGATTTACGCCCCCTAACCCTCCCAAGGAGACCTGGTTTTCGAACTCAAGTATTCACACTACAAACATGGATTTGCTTTCTTTCTAATTGGTACCTTTAACCTTCAAGCCCCCTGGTGCGTTGAGTTTTTTATTCCTTGTGGACTATGCACCATGTGAGAAATGTAAAGGTCACACAGAATTGAGGATGAACAAGTGAAAGCGTCATTAGTAAATTAGGATTCCGTGTTAAACGCTTAGTTTACATGTAAGGTTGATTCCATTGTCAGATTCGGCCTTTTTACAAGAACAGCGATCACAGGAGCAGACAGCGCTGGATGGTTTGCTCCACTGAGAGTAGTTGTTCAGTGAAGCTGCTTTAAAATAAAACTCCACTTATGATCATCTAATATAAGTCTTATCTTGCTTTAAATAATACCTTTAATGATCTTTTCTGCTGGAACATTATCCTTCCCAAAGAGACTTGAGCTGATTGCTTTAGTGTGGTGTTAGGGAAAATGGTAGGAAATGAGACATGGGAATGATATTAAAATAAAATAAGCTCAATACCAATGGGAAAAGAGATAAAGAAGGAAAACGTCAAAGACATTCATTACTTATGGTTCAGCATAAATTTTGACCCACTTCTGAGTGTGTTACAAATGCAAAGTGTTATCTTCTACAAAAAATTATTGTTACTAAGAATTTTCTACTACAGTGATACAATTTTAACTGTTCATGCCAATAAGTATATGGTTAATACAGTAATCCAGTTGATTGCTACTCATTTTTAAACTAGTGGTTGATTTATTTCAACCATTTAATTTTCTAAAAACCATCTTATACGTGTAAAAATAGCATGAACATGAATGGCATGTTTCTATAAGATTTCTGATATATTCTCAGGAACAGCTGCTAGAACTAGGATACTGTTTGGGATTTAAGATTGTAAAATATACTGTATATTACCCACACCGTATGGGCACAAATAATTTTCTAGGGAAGAACTAACCAGAAGAGAGAAGTTTTATTATCGCTAGCTGTCTCTGTGGCATTTTACTGGCATGCCCACACATGAGAGGCTGGGAACTATTTACCTTAAAGAAAAAGTCAGGACTGGGGATTCAGTTAAGAATCAGGCACCCAGTAGATAAGGCCTGGGGAGAGGAGCAGTGTGGAGAACGAAGGTTTGCCAGTCAGACCGGAGGAATGCCATCAGGCTGGGAGGGATGCTGGGCAGGAGCAAATGGCTCTTGGCCATACCTCCTCCTTGTTTATATTGCATGTGAAGGTTTACGTGCCTGGCAGGTAATTCAATTTTAAGTCCCTTAATCAGATGTTGGGAAAGTAAAACCGAATGTCATGACACACTTGAGCATCTCAATGAGCTAGTGGAAAATAGGGGGTAAAAGCATTTGCAATGCTATCTAAATGACTAACTCTGTCATGACTTGCATACACATCATGTGCTAATTGGTGGTAGATGCCGTTGCATCCTTACAGAAGGAAGGCTCACTAAGCATAGATGTCTCTTAATTGCTTGGGTGCAACTTGTTCAGATGTTCTTGGAATTGATGTTGAGCTAGAGGCCCTTGTAGAGTTTGCCTATGGTTTCAGGAGGACATGGCAGAGCAGATAGGATTTCTGGAAGATCTTGGGGATGCAGGATAGGCAGGGTCTGTAGCATGGCTAGAATAACGATGAGAACAGAACCAGAATTTCAAAGTACACTCCTCCTTCAGGTGGCCTTGTGCTTCTCTCTAAACATGTCCGTTTAGTAGTACAGCGGGTTCTGCATGGGGGGACTATACCATGGATGATTTAAGCACTTTGAAAGCAGATCTAACTAGTCTGGTTTGGCTTAACCCATTCTGTTGGTGTTACCGGAAGCCTTTACAATGATTGCTGATAGGGAGCATAATTTGACTTCTTGGGCCTCAGAAGGAACCCTGGATTCCAGAAAGGAAAATAAAATAGCTGTAGGTAGGGTGACCATTTAGTAATTTATTGCTAAAATAGAGACATTTTTAAGAGTGAAGGAGGGAAATATTTATAACTAAGCCAGAAAACAGGCATATACAGAACTATCCTGGGCAAACCAGAATTTGCTCACCCTCGCCTGGGTGGCCTCATCAGTTTGAAGGTTTTGGTCCCACAAAAGGAGGTCAGAATTTTTACCTGAAGTGGCCTTGGTTTCAGGAACACTCCCCAGAGCCATTCAGAACAGAGAGTAGTAGACAGTGCATACAGAAGCATAGTTTTATCAGCAAACCTGGATTATTGTGTGATAGTATCCAAGATGTGTGGCTGATGTGCTTTCAAAGACTGTGAACACCATAGAGAAAAACTTGATTTTAAATTCCATTTTTATTTTAAATCCTCTTACACATGTCAAGCTTAAGCATTATGGTAGACTGAGTTAAGTAATAGTGATCCAGTAGTTCTAACTGGTTAATAAACTCAGTTGATATGGTTCCATTTTCTTCCATGTTCTGCTACTAAATATTAACATCTTTGATAATCCATGTCTTAAAGATATAGCAATCAATAGGATTAGATAAGAAGAAATAAAAGCAAAATAATTACTCAGACCTAGCAATGCAAAGGGTTGTCATATGTCATGTACATAAGAGTTTATCATTTTGGAAATTACAGGAGGAAAGGGTTCCCAGGACTATTAGATGATAATGAATTTTAGGATAAACAAGAGGATTTATTACATAGCATAAATTACAGGAAAATTAAAGTTATTCCTCCTCTGTCAGAGAAAAAGACATAATAACAGGTTCATGATGACAATTATATGCTGGTTTCATATACTGAGGGGAGGCCAGATAATTATCATAATTGCTAAATGACTTGGTGGGCCCTTCCTCTAAATGAGACACTGTAGATGTAGATACCATTCCGATTGCTCAAGATGTGATGTGATATAGTGGAAAGGACATAGGTTTGGGAATAGATCAGACCTGAATCTTATTTCTGGTTTTATAACTTCCTTGGTTGTACAGTTTTGGGCAAGTCATTTAACCAGCCTGAGCCTTAGTTTCTTACTCTGTGAAAAGGGAATAGTAATATTTACCTGGGTGGTGTCATGAGAACTAGGAAAGCACATGCATAAGCACAGTGCCTAGCACAGAGTACACGCCTGGTTAAATGACAGCTATTCAAGTGAGTTTTTAAATAGTCCTTGCCTGAGAGTTCCACAGAATAAGTAAGGAAAATGAGCCAAGGGTTGGACAAGTGATATAGTTCAGAAGAGGGTAGTTTTGGTGACGCTCAGGCTGTCTGGAAAGGCCACTTTGAAGGAGGTCAGAGGAGTGTCAAAGGGTGACAGGAACATAGATGGGGAGAGGCTAAGGGGTGTTCATTACAGGCAGGAAGACTGAAGACAGCAAAAACAAAAAGGGTATGGTGTGTTTTCAAAGCGTGTTTGTAAGGAAATAGGAGGTGATAATGGCATGGAAGTTATTAGGACCACATTTTGAAGCTTTAAATGACTTGGTCGCCCTAGCTGGTTTGGCTCAGTGGATAGGGTGTCAGCCTATGGACTGAAGGGTCCCGGGTTCGATTCCGGTCAAGGGCACATAGGTTGCAGGCTCGATCCCCAGTAGGGGGCGTGAAGAGGCAGCCAATCAATAATTCTCTCTCATCATTGATGTTTCCATTTATCTCTCCCTCTCCCTTTCTTTCTGAAATCAATAAAAAATAAATAAATGACATGGTCTAAAGCTTGGGCTTAATTTTCTAGCAATGAGGGAACTACTGAAGACATTTGAATTGAAAGAAGGAAGAGAGGTTTATAGCATAAAATTCAAGTTTTAGTGCTGAAAAGGACATCAGAAATCACTTAATCCAAGCACTTCCTACTACAAAACACGAATCTGTCAGCAATGCAAGGGATGGGTTGAACGGAGTAGACATGGAAGGCAAGATGACTAGGTGGGTGACCAGCACAGCAATCTAGTTAGGAGGTGGTGAGGGCTGGACTGGGATTCGGGGTGAGGAACAGCAGACAAGGTGGTGATGAGATTGTGATGTTAGGTGGCAGAGAGGAGGGCACCGTCCGCAGAATTGGAACATGCCCTGAGAGGACTGTTTTAGAGGAAGAAGGAGTTTAGTTTAGATGTGGAACTCAAGGAGATGTCTCAGAGGAAGGTGGAGGCTGACAGGACAGTAAAAACATCCCCATTTATTGGTGAGGGGTCCTCCTCTCTCTAGAAAGATCTTTCACTGCTTCACTGAGAATGCATCTTTGTAGGCGACTAACTAACATGAGCCGACAGATAGATCCACTGAATCTGTGCTACTGACCTGGGTGAGAGGTGTGGTAGGCAGCTTCCCCTCAGATCCAAAGACAAAGATAAGGGGTCAGGTGTTGAGGTGAGAGATGTAGGCTGGGGAGTTGTTTACAAAGAGGAGAAATGGAAATCAAGGAAAAAGATAAGAGCTCTGCAGAAGTAAAAAAAAAAAAAAAAGAAAGAAAAAAAAGAGGCTGGGCCTTGGGGCACCTCCACATTTAGGAGACAGGAAAAGAAAATGCTGCCAATAAGTAAAACAGAGAAAGAAACCATGGATTTATAGCGGGTCATTTCAGCCCTTTAGTTTACTTTTTCCAGCTGCGTCCAGCAATTAGGAACCCAAGTGCTGATGTGGTCATCAGGCTTGAAGGATGGCTCGGTGGCAAAGCAAGGGAATAAGGGCGTCTAGGCTGCTAGAGGAGGTGGTGCTGACAGAGCTAACACTGGGTACAGATTTCAGAGACAGGGAAGGGAAGCCAGGAGGTGGTTGATAGACTAGAAAAATGAATAGCGCTGTGTGGGTTGCCGTGTGGGATGAGGTGAAGGGGGAGTGGAGGTGAAAAGGAGGGAGGTTGTCCTCACACACAGGGAGTGCAGAAAGGATGTGCTCTTAGGGGCTGTCCTCGCACTGCTGCCCAAGAAGAAGGGCAGAAATAATCCCAGAGTCAGTTACCCGGCCTCTAGCTGATCATTTTCACTGCCAGCTGAGCCACACTTTCATAAAATTGCAAAAGCCAAATTCCTACTGCGCCATTGGGTTGAAATCATCCCAGCAGTTGAGGCCACCCAGTCCTCCAGCCTGGTCTCCCCACCTCCTACAGTTACATGTAAACTCAGAGAATGCAAACCACATTGAGCCTGAATAAGAACGTTTATGTTCTTCTACTATATATATTGTCCTAAAGGCAAACACACATAATGCAGTAATGTGAGGATTATGTGTGGAGCTGAATTGTCTACTGTACTGCTCAGTTCCCTTGGTGAGGTTGCTAGGGGATGGTGTGAGATGCTACTCTTCTGCTTTATTAATCTGCCAAATTTATTCCTTCTACTGCAATCCCTTTCAGCTGATGTTACTGTTTAACATGTTTGCATGTTGGCTCAGATTTCTGTTACATGGGGAATTTTTTGAGCTGTGTTTATTTGATCTGTAAAATGGGATGCATTATGATGAACAATTTTGTGATTAGGTTTGAAAAGGAACTTTAACGTATGAGCCCATCAGAGAGCAGATTTATGCACAACTGTTGTTTCTCCGATTCAGACACTGAAATGTCTTTAAGACCCAGAGTGATGCAAGTAGAAGAGAAAGGAGCAGGGACAGGAGTTAGGGACCTGAGCAGTTAGTTAATGAAAATGTATGATTTTCTTTTTTTAAAATATGCTTTGAACAATGATGTAATTGTCATCGTGACAAAATGTTTGAATCAGTCATTTAAAGCTCTTTAACTTCTCTGCATCTTTCCACTCACGCCTCACTCCACCCCCTCCCATACCACGCCTGGGTCGTTCCCACGGACCTTTCTCTCCTCCCCTTGTGCCCAGTCCCTCTTTCATGCCACTTCCTTGCAGAAGACGCACCAGAGCGCCCTGCAGGTGCAGCAGAAAGCTGAGGCGCTGCTGCAGGCCGGCCACTATGACGCAGACGCCATCCGGGAATGTGCGGAGAAGGTGGCCCTCCACTGGCAGCAGCTCATGCTGAAGATGGAAGACCGGCTGAAACTGGTCAATGCCTCTGTGGCCTTTTACAAAACCTCTGAGCAGGTGAGGGAAAGGGCTGGGGGATGTGTGAGGCTGAGAGTGACACAGGATTGTTTTCTGCCTCACACTGCCAATCTGCGGTACCTACCACAGCAAGAAGCCAGTCCTCTCAGTACTAACCTTTGAGATGAGGAAAATGATTTGTGGCTTCCTTATAATGCTTTCCATTTAGAGAAGTGGACCGTGTGATTTGCTTCTATAAATTTCTCAGACTCCTTGGATCTAGCTGTTGAAATAGAAATGCTAGATTGGAGTGGAATATTAGTCCGCTATTGCCACAATAATGCTGTGTAACAAATCACCCCAAAATTCTGTTGTATAAAACAATAAGCATTCATTTCTTTTGCATAAGTATCTGGAGCTCAGCTGGTCTTGGCTGAGCTTGGTGGAGCTGGCTCCAAGCTGCAGACTGGGACTAGATCTGTTCCCATGTCTCTTATCCTCCTTGCCCAGCAGCTACTTGGGACACATTTAGGGCAAAAGGCAGAAGTGCAAGAGCCCCAAATCTTCTATGAAAGTGCCCTTCAAGTCTCTGCTTATGTCACATTCTCTAGCATCCTTTTGGCCAAAACAAGTCATATGGCCAAGCCAACATCAATAACGCAGAGAAATATGTACCTCCCATGAAAGTTGGAAAAGGACAATTTGCTGAACGTAATCTCATCTACCACAATCAGGCACCATGCGCTGCTTGAAAACATAAAGTTCTGTTACTCACAGGGCTCCCAGTCTAATGGGGGAAACAAGGCTCCCTGTCATTGAGAGCTATGAGCCTACTGGCAGGATGGTGTCGCTGTGGGAGAAAAGGCAGGGTCATAAAGATGCAGACCCATTACCACTACATCTGTTCAGCAATATGCACAAGAGCTAAGAGGATTTTTGAATGATTTGGGTGCTGTTAGGGAATTCTTTCTATGAAATAGAGGTTTCAAACAGAAGTAATTTTATTCCATGTAAAATACTTTCCCTCATTCCAAGTGCTCCCTAGGAGAAATAGATCAGAGAAACGTTCTCTTCTGGGTGGCCATGGGGAAGTGTCGAGGAGCAAAGGCAGCCTGTCTGTGAGAGGGCCCTGCAGCCAGTGTTTCGGTCTCAGTCCTGCCTTCTGTTGCTTCAGAGAGATGATGCCTTCAGAAGTGGGAGCAGCAAAGACGATAAAGAGCTTCCCCAGCCAAAACTGGTTGGGCTCGGTGGATAGAGCGTCGGCCTGCGGACTGAAGGGTCCCGGGTTCGATTCTGGTCAGGGGCATGTACCTGGGTTGCGGACACATCCCCAGTAGGAGATGTGCAGGAGGCAGCTGATCGATGTTTCTCTCTCATCGATGTTTCTAACTCTCTATCTCTCTTCCTTCCTCTCTGTAAAAAATCAATAAAATATATTTAAGAAAAAAAAAAAGAGCTTCCTATAAATTCAACATAGTCCCAATCAGATCCCAGCAAGCTTTTTGATAAAAATTGGTATGCTGATTCTAAGATTTACATACATGGAAATGCAAAGAACCTAGAGTAGCCATAACAACTTTGAAAAGGAAGAGCAAAGTTGAAGGAGTTACACCAGCTGATCGTGAGACTTGCCCTAAAGCTGCAGTGATCAAGCAGAATGGTGCTGGGTGTAAGGATAGACTCCATGGAACAGAATAGAGGTTCCAGGAGTAGACCCACAACTATATAGTCAGTTAATTTTGCACAAAGAATTAATTTAATAAAGTCTTTTTAAAATTCTTTATTGTTTAAAGTATTACATGAGTCTCCTTTTCCTCCCCATTGACCTCTCCCCTACCACCCCGACCCCAAGCACAAGCCCTCACCCCCACCCCCCACTGTCTATGTCGATTGGTTTTGTCATATGCATGCATACAAGTCCTTTGGTTTTAAACAGATGATTCTGGACAACTGAATATTCATATAAAATGAGGCTAATCCCTCTCTACTATCATACACAAATTTTAATTTGAGATGTATCAAGGTACTAAAGAGGTCAGAGCACTAGATTAAGAATCAGGAAATTTAACCCTGAACTAATGTTGCTAAAGGTCACTTTATCTCTCAAGAAATCTGTTTCTCTGCCTATTAAACTAAAGGATTTATGCTTTATAATCTTTTCAGCTTTCAAACTGATTGGTTTTAAGTCCAATACTATCACAGGACAGGTGTCAAGTACTCTTTTTTCTTAGAGTTTTTGAACATATAATGTTTTCTCTCAGGTGTGAGCATCCTGAATGTGTTCCTGCCTTGCCAAGTCAGAGATGGGTGGTGCTGGGGGAGCCAGCTCGAGTTCAGCGACAGGTCTCTCGCGCCTGGGAAGCCTGTTGGCCATGAGGGTGTCCTGCCTGGGACATCTTTCAGCTCAGTTCATAACTCAGTACATGTCCCATCCAGTGCCACACTCTTCATCAGAAAGGATGACTTTCTCAGTCCGAGGAGGCCAAGGATAATAGCCGTTTGCGCCTGCTGCCAAAGCCAAGCAAGCGATCCAAGCCTGCTGAAGGGAAGCACAGAAGCATGAGTTCTATTTCCCACATCCTTCCCTAGGCCCTGACACTCGGCTGCCTAGTCTCCTAACTTTCCCTCCAAGCTCCATTCGAAGCTTTTGTCCTTTTGTTCATTAATAAGGTATTTAATAGCATGGCCTCTGCACTTTCCGAACTGAGAAAGCTCCTTAACTTTCTTTGAGATTAACCCAAATTTGTATCCCTCTGAAGGAAATATACATTTTGTAATAGAAGGCCTGGAGATGTCATTGCCATATGGTAGCATCTTGAGACATTTTTGCTGGGATATTTTTCCATGGGGAGGGGAAAGATAGCATTCATTTATGGTCCATAAGACACAATATATAGGCAACTTCCTTCTTTACCTCTGCTTGAAACTACTTCCTGCAGGGCAATTTCAGATGGTTGGGCACCCTGAGTATCTCCATCAAACCTCATTTTCCTGTACTACCTAATTCACAGAGTTATCATAAAGTTATAGCAATATAATATATATTTTTTAATCCTCAAAAAGTACTAATCTGTCTTAGCCATTGATTATCAGAAGATGATTCCAAAATCCACATCTCAGTCTTGGACTGTCTCCCAAGGTCCAGACGCTGGGTCTCCCTGCCTCCTTCCCTCAGATCCCCAGGGGCACTGCCTGCCCTCAGTCTACAAACTGAACTTAAAATAAAAAAGTGTGCATCTGTGCAGCATTCTCTCTCTTAAAGGTCCTCACAAAACACTTCCCAACTGATTAATTTACTGAGTCTTTTTTCCCCCCACGATTCATTAGGTCTGTAGTGTCCTGGAGAGCTTAGAGCAGGAATACCGGAGAGATGAGGACTGGTGTGGTGGACGAGATAAACTGGGGCCAGCAGCAGAGATCGACCACGTCATTCCACTCATCAGTAAACATCTGGAACAAAAGGAGGCCTTTCTTAAGGTCAGAGCACTTTGTCATCCAAGGTCTGGGACTTTACGCTGTTTTTCTATCTACCATCTCTCTCTCCCTTTCTCCCCCTGTCCCTCCTCCTCCTCTTCCTCCTTCCCTCTCTCTTTCTGTCCCACCCCACTCTCACAAACACTGCGTCACAAGGGCTTTCCATATTCCTGTTTTTCTAGCTTCATATCTGAAAGGGAGTAGTTGTAGAGAAGATATTGGCTGGTTAACTTTAAAAGTCACACTTCAAATATTTCTTTTTTCTCTCAGTACTTTTTGTATACTTAGGCAGTTAGGATATGCCATTACTGCTGGTGCCAGGTTCAGATATCCTGAAATCCCATGGATGTTAATTGAGAAAAATACATACTTTCCCTCAGTTATGTTTGGTTTATTAAAATATTCTTAATTGAAATATATAAACCTAGATATAAAACAATACTAAAATACAAATAATAATATAAAAAAGATTACAATGTAAATCTTTTGTAAATGGATAATACAATATTTAGGGCAAGAATTAAAAGAACTGTAGACATCTTATTTATTTATCAATTTAAAAGTTATCAATTATTGATCACAGTAACACTGCGTAGTCTGCTGCATGAAGAGAGAAATGCCTCGTTTTGTTCCTTTGTTCCTAATAGAGCTCTAGCTTCCCAGGGAGAAGCCCCGGCTGCTCTGAACAGGCTCTCAGTGTGTGGGAGTCCTCCCAGCCCTCTTCCCTCCGGCCTTTGATCTTCGGACGGGTCTTCTGCGCTAAAACTTATCTCAAGGCTCCATTTACTCTCAGATGTCTTGCTTTCATGTTCTGCTTCCTCTCAGGTTTCTGAAAGTACAATAGAGAATTTTTATACCCTGACATATTGCCAATGACTTTCTACAATTCTGTAATTAACTGTCTTTTTTTTTTATTATTAGGAATTTTCTCTACTGGACCACCTCTTTGAGTTTTATTTTTATTCTTTTTTTTTTAAATGGCCTCCCTTGTCCCTCCTCCCATCTAGTTGGTGTCTGCACCTGCATTCAATCAGAACCCCTAGTGATCAGCTCTTACTCATGAGATTCAGTAGAAATTCTTCTATACGGGGCTTAAGATGATTTAAAAAGTCTTCCCTGTCATAAAACACAATTTAAAACAAAACAACTTAAGTAGAGCATATGAAAAATTTTAAATAGAGATATAAAGATAGCTCTTCATAAAATTAAGTGCTTCTTTTTAAGAAGGAAAAACAAAAACACACAAACAAAAAAAACCCTGTTCTGGTTAGATGTTTTTGACGTGCCTACACCTGTAGTTGAGAAAGTGCCTGCTGCTGTGGGGAGTGTGTGCCCAGTGGACGGGACATGGAGCTTTCCATCTGTGTGCATTAGTTGACTATTTGGGATTTCTTGGCTTTGGACCACCCTCCAGCTGTTAAATTCGTGGGCCTCTGGACGGACCCACCAGCAGTCTTTGACCAGAGCTCTCAGAAGCCATTGTTGCTAATGCAGCATTTAGAATATTTTATATTGTGTAATTTGTAGAATAAGATGTTAACTGTACAAAGGTTTTTAAATTGTACAGTTTTGTCTAAAGGTCATTTAATTCTGATAACTGTGGATTAAAAATTAGTGGACTATCATGTATTACTTCTACAACCAGGAAAAAAACACTGCCTTTTAAAAAAATTCAGAACATCTGTGGTCTTGAGAGAAACTAGAAACACTGTCAGTGGACCTAGAGTCTAGCCTTGACTTGCTTCATGACTCCTGCCCTTTTAGGGCCTCAGTCTCCTCTGGGGGTACAACAACCTGGCACACACCTGTCCTCTCTGCCACCCCTGGTAGTGTGGGTCTTACATGGCCAGTATAACAGCTCTTATACCTTTAGGTAGAGAAGTTTATTAGTGTCACTGAGGTGAGGGTTGATTTGATGGACAAATAAAATTTTAAATGTGGGTAATATCCATTTAGACTTGAGATGCATGGTCAATAGGTTTGTTTCCCAAATTTGCTTTCTCAAGTCTAAATTCAACTAATGTTAAAGTGACTTACACCAGTGCTTATGTACGAGGCCTTCTGGGGGCAGAGGAAAACGAGGTTGAGAGGGAAAGTAATACTGACTCAACTTACACTTGGCCGGGGATGGCTGATTTCTGACTTTTATCTGGGGTGGAGAGGGGAGGGGCGCGGGAAGCAGTTCTTTACTCCATGAGAGGGTGGGCCTCTCTCACTGGGACTGGGGTGTCCATGAGCCAGAGTGGCTGCAGGGCTCTGCTCGCCCCTAGCTTCACAAGCCCTTCTCCGGGGTCTTGGGTACCACGCACCTGCTAGTCTGGGACTTATGTGCAGGCGCTTCCCACTTGTCTCCCTCAGGCCTGCACCCTGGCACGGCGGAATGCGGAGGTGTTCCTCAAGTACATCCACAGGAACAACGTCAGCATGCCCAGTGCCGCCAGCCACACTCGGGGACCCGAGCAGCAAGTGAAAGGTCAGTGTGACACCTGCCGGCCCCCAGCCACCTCAGCAGCACGGACCAGAGGCTGTGCCCTTGGTCTTCAGGCAACCTCAGATTTCCTGGGTTTTCTCCTTGGATAAGAAAAAGTTAGATGTGGGATGGCCTGGACGGTGATGATTCATGGGGAATGTGTTAAACAGGCACCAAGATTTAGAATGGAAAAACCATGATACACTTTCACCAAAGCTTTTTCATTTATTTATCTTAGAGGCTAGAGCAGCTCTATCTAATAGAATATTCTGAAATAACAAAAATGGCCTGTACCTGTGCTGCCCAATCTAGAAGCCACACGTTGCATATGGCTGTGGGGCGCTTACAATGTGCCTGGTGCAACTGAGGAACTGAATTTTTACTTGTGTTGAATATTAATCAACTGAAATGTAAGTAGCCACCTGTGGCTAACATATCGAACAGCGCAAGGCTAGAGTATCTTGCAGCCTGGGAATGAGACAAGTTCTAATCCCGGCTTCATTGCTGAAGCTTTTAAAACTCCAGTTTCCTTCTTTAAAATGTGGTCCCAGACCCACAGCAGCAACATCACTTGGGAGCTGTAGGAGCTGATACGGAATCTCAGGCCCCACCTGGATCGAGCGAGGCAACCTGAATTCTAGCAAGAGCTCCCCATCCCACTCCAGCCAGGTGATTGGTGTGCACATGGAATTTAGAGAAGTGCTGGTCTGGATGATCCTTAACATCCCTCTGAATTTATAACATTTATAATTGTATGAAAAAATCAGTAACCTTTAAAAACTAGCTATTCGCTGACCACATTAAGCTTAAATTATCATTGATGGAATTGCTTATTCTGGACCAGATAGAAATTTGCCTTTAAGTAGGTATAGAATTTAACAAATGTTGTCTTGACATAGCAGAGAAATACAACCCTGGAGACTGCGGCTAGGGAATGAACCAAAATTGACCTGGAGTGAGGGAGCGGGCAGCTTGGAGACTACGGAGTTGCCAGGGGAGAGAGGCTGATCTGCTCTAGGAAGAGCCCTTCTCAGAGAGCACAGAGGCGAGGAGATCAGAGGCCAATGGGGAGAATTAATTTTAGGAATCAAAGTCCTCTATGGAGAAGAGGCGAGCCTGTTCCTTTTCCAGGTGTGCTACTGTTTGTGATGGAGCAGCCCTGCGGGTGGCTGGCGTGATGTCACCCTCCCCTTCCTGCACAGTGCAGAGTGGATGTTCAGATTTCCAAATGCAGGTGGCAGCTGGGGGAGACCTGCTGAGTGCAGACACTCCCCCTGTGCCTCGGTGCTGAGAGTGGCAGGCACCCAGAGAGAACCAGGTCACTGCAACTTTGTGGGGGTGAGGGCCGCTTGTTGCCCACAGGAAAGCTTTTAAGAAAGGGCTAAAATGAGTCCTGAAACCCTCTGGGGGTTTTGCCTGATCTGGGTTGTTTCTGTCAGCTGCCATAGAGTGGGCTGCTATGAGCAAAGCTCTGATTAGGAGACAGAAGGACTGAAGAAAACACAGGTTCTCACTCATTGGCCAATTGAAGCTTCCGGCCAAGCAGGGACTACACTCACCCCTGTATCCGTTTCCCTTCCACGGGCTGCCTGCACCCAAAGCAGTGCCACTTAAGGTTTTGTGCAGGAGCAGTTATTGCTGCATAATAATTCGGTGGTACACAGTTGTGGGCATGGACTGCTCAGGTGACTGCATGTTGGCTGGGGTCATCTGTCTTGGCCGGGCTCGGTCGGGCAGTCCTGCTTGAGCTGCAAGTGTGGCTGGTGCAGCTCCTTCCCTGCAGGTCAGATTCTGGCTGCTCCACGTGTGTTAATTCTGGGACCTCGGGGGAGGGGCAGCAGTTACCCAGGAGCACTTCTTATGGTGTCGATGGCAGAGAGGAGAGGCAGGGTCAGTGCACAGCACATTTCAAGCCCCTGCTGAGTGGTATCTTAACAACCCATTTGCCAAAGCAAGCCACATGGCTGACCCTGAGGTCGGGGTGAGAAAATACACATTGTCTCTTCGGGGAGAAACTAAAAAGTTACATGATAGGTATAGATAAGGGGAGAGGGGCCTATGAAGGCTCTTAGCCTGAGGGAGGAGGGACAGATTCTGTCCTTAGAAGACCAGACTTCCAGGGAGCATTCAAAGTTCACAAAACCAGCAGAAGCCTTGGAGTCTGAGCACTGCCACTTGGGTCGGGGCCTTTGCAGAGCACAGTGACTTGTCCTAGAGACCAGGTGGCTACGCACTCAGGGTCTGAAGTAAATAGCTCCCCCCTTTCCATCTGCATGACCCTGGGTGTCACCTATACTCTCTGAACCTCAGGTTCTTCCTCATAGAATGGAGATGCAGCCATCCTGGGGGAGCTCCTGCATCCTGAGGTACCGTGAAAATACAGTGAGGGCTGAATAAACATCAATTTTTCTAAGTAGTCCTATTGTATATTTTATTGGCATCTAGTATAGTTGGCAGCAAGCAGGAGGCAGACAAAAGGCAAAATAAATTTGATTGCTTCAAGCATTGGACATACTATTAAACACTTAGGAAATCTATCCAGGTAGCCAAATGCCCCTGAAACAACAGAGCAAGCTGGGAAATGACTTGGACAAACACCTTCCCGGCCCTCTGTGGTGCTGTACGCCTTGTTCACATCCCCACGCTGAACATCGTTTGAGGTAACATGAGACCGTTCTCAGCGTTTCTCATGATGGAATCCAAAACGACGTGGAAGTTTGGTCCTAGAGGTATGATTCCATGTGGACATGGTTCCCACATGGCTTCCCTTTATGGTTATTTAGAAGTTTTAGAGTTGAGGCTCTGCTGTTCACGTGCTGTGTGCACGGCTCATGTGCAGGGCAGGGGTGTGGCCCATGCCTCAGGTTAGCCATGCAGTGCCAACAGCCCTGAGCCACGGCTCCCTCTCCCCCAGCCTAGAACAGCTGGGATTCTGTCAAGTCCATTC